TATTTATTTATTTATTTATTTATTTATTTTATTTTATTTTATTTTATTTTTTTTTTATAGGTTAGATGCTGCTGGGTTTGCTCGAGCTTGTCGTTTGGTTGCTTACGCTCAGCAAGACCTCAACATACACCACGCCTGTGCACCCGGTACGCTGCTGCTGCTGCTGCTGCTGCTGCTGTTGCTGCTGCTGCTGCTGTTGCTGCTGCTGCTGCTGCTGCTGCTGCTCTTGCTGGTGCTGCTGCTGCTGTTGCTGCTGCTGCTGGTGCTGGTGGTGGTGCTCCTGTTGTTGGTGCTGTTGCTGCTGCTGCTGCTGCTGCTGCTGCTGCTGCTGGGGCTGGTGGTGGTGGTGCTGCTGCTGTTGCTGCTGCTGCTGTTGCTGCTGCTGGTGCTGGTGGTGGTGCTGCTGCTGCTGCTGGTGCTGCTGCTGCTGCTGGTGCTGCTGCTGTTGCTGCCGCTGCTCCTGTTTCTGTTGCTGTATTTGCTGTTGTTGCTGATGCTGCTGGTGCTGTTGTTGCTGATGCTGCTGTTGCTACTGCTGCTGCTGCTGCTGCTGCTGCTGCTGCTGCTGCAGATGCTGCGCCTCCTCCTGCACTACCGAATTTTAATGTATCCTCCGCGTGGAGGTCAGCTGAGCCGCCAAGCCGTAAGCCTCGCTCGCCTGCACCCTGCTGCTGCTGCTGCTGCTGCTGCTGCTGCTGCTGCAGCTGCTGCTGCCGCTGGTGCTGCTGCTGCAGTTAGTGTTGCAGTTGCTGCTGCGGTTGCTGGTTGAGCTGCAGTTGCTGTTGCAGTTGCTGCTGTCGCACACAGTTGCTGCTGCAGCTGCTGCTGCAGTTGCTGCTGCTGCAGTTGCTGCCATAGTTGCAGTTGCTGCTGCAGTTGCTGCTGTAGCTGCTGTTGCTGCTGCAGTTGCTGCTGCAGTTGCTGTTGCTGCTGCAGTTGCTGCTGCCCCCACAGCAGCCCTCGCAGTTACAAAACCCGCACAACAGCAGCAGCAGCATCATTATCATCATCATCATCAGCAGCAGCAGCAGCATCAACATCAGCAGCAGCAGCAGCAGCAGCAGCAGCAGCAGCAGCAGCAGCAGCAGGCGTATGTGTGTGTGTATATATGCAGCCTTTCTATCGAGTGCTTCTGCTGCAGCAGCAGTATCTTACTCACCAACAGCAGAAGAACTGCAGCAGTATGTGTCTTTGTTTGTTGCTGCTGATACAAAAGGAAGAGGCAGCAGCTTGTTGTCTGGTGCTGCACTGAAGCCTCTTCTTGCTGCTTCTATGCTCTCTGCTGCTGATCTTGCTGCTGCTTGGGCTGCTGCTGATGCTGATGGGGACGGCTGTCTCTCTTGCTTCGAGTTTGCTGCTGCTATGTGTCTTGCTGCTAAGAGGAGACAGGGGGCCCCCATACCTCTGCTGCTGCCGCACGAGCTGCAGCCGCAGGTGCTGCAGCAGCAGCACAAGCGACTGCAGCAGCAGCAGCAGCAGCAGCAGCAGCAGCAGCTGATGCAGCAGCAAGCTTTGCCCGATTGGGGGGCGGGATTTGATGCTTTTGGAGATGCAGCAGCAGCAGATGCTGCAGCAGCAGATGCTGCTGCAGATGCAGACAGCAGCAGCAGCAGCACAGCAGCAGCAGCAGCAAACAAAGACAGCAGCAGACGTAAGG